TATATAAGAATGTTTAATGATAACAAATTTGTAGTGGTAACGCCCAAACATACCATTTCGCATTGTATTAGATTCTCGTAATTCTTGTTGCACTTCTGGTTGATGATGAAAATTAGTTGGTAAATTTGTACTTTCAATTCCATTTGCATATTGTGTAAGCTATTCACAGAAAGAAGTGTTAGAATAAGCAAATACGATCCAGATCCTCTTACAAATGCTCCACTCTAACTCTTTACCGTTTTCCCGAATATGTTGAGGTGCCCCAACGAGGCGGTTCGAATAGCATTTTTTTCCTCTTCTAAGTTTTGGATTTCCGTCCAAAGATTGGTCACTATTGAAGATTTTTTTTCCACCTTAAAAGAAAAATAAGCGTCAATATCTTAAAAATGCATACATCATTGTGTAATGTGCTGTAGCTGGCTAAACTCCATCTGGACACAAGAGCAAACCGAAGATGCTTTTGCTAGGTGAAGCCCAAACCGCAGTTTATCATAAGAGCAAACCGAAGATGCTCTTACTTGGTAAAAGCCATAACTTATCATTACTCGAAACCGAAGATCATCACAAGAACAAACCGAAGATGTTCTTGCTTGAGTAATACAAGAATGATAGGATGAATGACCAAGAAAAACAAGTACTTTACTTCAAACGCGTCCAAAGCACTTTTTGCGTTGACTCCGAGTTCATGATCATTCTTAAGGTTAAGTAGTGTAGTACAATAACAGCTATTTTCTATTTGAATTTCTTTCACGAAAGATGCTTGTTCCCTTCTCCGTATCAGGTACTCGTAAAAATAATTATCACATTCGCTTCTGAGTACGGCTTTGGCAATGACTTCTCTTTCTGTGTTTACATTCATAACTTCCGACTTGCAGATTGAGTTAATATTGACGCGATTAATTTGATAAATCGGTGGCTTAGATGCTATACAAAATCGATTATCTATAGAAACTATCTCATGTGATACAAATTTTATAATTTAGCCGTCTATGGTGATCGGGCTAATTTAGCCGAATCTGTTTTCACCCAGTCACATGCGACTCACACGATAAAAATGAATCTGATATTTATTAGAGTATAATCAGCTAAAATCGCTAAAAATACTATAAATCAATAAATCGTTATAATCTGATATAATCTACTAAAATAGTATTATGGATTTAGATAGTAAAATATATTCTAAGTTAATTAATGCGCACAATTCTTATGGAGGCTCTGAAGAATATATAAGAATATTGGATGCAATATCGCCTTTAACAAAAAGACATGCCCACGAAACACCAGAAATGTGATGCTCTCATATTAGAGATCCATTTAGAAAAATACTAAAAGAAAATCCAAGAATCCTTTCTGGAAATGGATAAATTACAATGTATGGAATGCATAGCTTCTGTGGTGTGGTATATGGTTTACCATCAAATTACATATATTGTAGTGTGTGCGACTTCTTGGTTTTCATTCCTAAAAAATATTCTACTTTAGACGATTTTTATCGAGATAGTCACTTGAAGAGATGTATTTCTGAAAATACTATTTCGAATGAATATGTAAAAAAAAATGAAATTCTCAAATCTATCGATACAAGGGAATTTAAGATCTGACAATATAAACAATACATATTACAAGAAGAGGCTAAAATTAATCATCTCCGCTTAGAGCTTTTCTCCCAATATACTTCACATTCAGAAAAGGATAAATTGGCATCAATATCATATGATCATAATACGGATTTAATATCTAGCTATAAAGCATATGCCTAGTCTAAAGTAATAGTATAAAAAATACTATACTAAGTACTTCAGAGCCAGCTTGTATTTCACCTGTCAGGCAAGAAGTGATTTCTCCAACTTCTTATAAAAGTGATATAGGCGAATTATTTATCTCATTTCTGTATGCAAAACAGCCAAAAGGCATTATGTTGAGATTGAGGGATGGAAGAGTAATCACAGTCGTCTAACTGGCTTGACTGATTTAGACGGCTGAAGCATACTTTGATTCTGTATGGCAGGAAGAAAATAAACTTAGCTGTTAAGGCGCTTCGCAATATCTTTCGATCATTAGCCCATATTTAGCCAAACATAACTTATACTTTATTTTTTTTTGCGAAATAAATAGCTATATAATTTGCATGCATAATTGCCTAATAAAATTGAGATGCTATGCATGAAATGTATCATCTACCAAATTTTTCAGATTAGTCCTTAACTCAGATCTTGAATATTATTTTAATAAAATAATATATTGTCCAGCCACAATGCATGAAGACATGTGTGACATGAATTAGCACATTTTTGATCCTCATTAAAATATATACCGTTGAGATCTTCAATGCATATTCTACATGCCTTTAATCACAAACATGGGCATAAAGTGCTTTGCATATCCTCCTGTTCCTTTTTCAACATGATTGCAAGTTTAGAGGGAAGTAAATGGAATCATTTAAAAGGCAGTATAGTAAAATTATTATACTTTTACATTATTTTTTTACTTCGCTTAGCAAAGCTTTCACTAATATTTAACCTTCACTCTTTTAAAACATGGAAGAGTTTCTTTTAACAAGAGAACCTCTCGATATCGTCAGAATTTTCACGGCATTATTTGTACAAGTAGAGGAAGGTGAATGAATAGGCGTCCTTGAAAAGAAGGTGAAGAACTTTGACAATGTTTTGAAGCGAGTTTTAGAACGAACCCCCTCAGAGAATATTGAGCGAATAAAGAAGCTTCGAAGTTTTGGTACCAGAAAAAAATTGGTGAAACAGGTAAGGCAATAAACACTAATTATAGCAAATATGTAGATATGATGTCACATATTTTTTAGATTTTTTAGTATAGTATAATCACTAGCGAAGAGGCTGATATTCGTTGTAATATTATTACTTTCCACACAGTAGTAACTAGTTTTACACTATATCTATATATCAAATATTTTGCTGGCACTTAAGACTTTATGAAAATGGAAACCTAATCTGATCCCGCAATGTAAAATGAAATTATTTTGTCAAATGAGTCTTGAAAACTAATTTAAATATATTTTAGATTTTAACTGCATTCAAAGATCTATGTTCACTCTCAGAAATGGAAGTGTTAATAATCAATACAGAAGCCTGGTATAAAGATGCAAATACAAATTTATAATCTTTGAAGCGTGACATTAGACGATGCATGACTAAGAGTGCTAGTTATAAGAAAACTATGTGAGAGAGAATAGAAACAGAACTTGAAGAAATAAATGTGAAGAACCTTGGATTCGATCATCTGATTTATTCAGGTGTTTTAGATATCAAGTCAGAACCCTTTACAAATATGCCTGGGTCAGTTTCTGATATTTTTAAAGAACCATTTCAAAAATATAAGTTAGAACAGAATCATGATATAATGGAAGCTTGTAAAAAATTTATCTAAAACAAAGAATCAAAAATTAACATAGACGAAGTTTTGGGTAATATTAATTATGGAGAATGGATGGATAAGCCTAAAGAATTGCAAGATCTAATAAAACAGATGTTAGAATCTATATAAGTCACTGTAATGAGCAATTTTTGTCAAAATCTGTTTATATGTTTTTTTACTTTGCTTATTAACCAATAAATAATTATAGGCTTAAGGTTTAGAAATCGCTAAAATATGATGCATATATAAAGAAGAGGAAATCGATAAATGAAGGATCATATATTTGTGAGGTGCTTGCATTATTATTAAATATAGTGATAAGCAATTTATCAGGAAACCCGATAGCATTAGACATATGGTAAGCTTAACTTAAAAAGTTTCATTATTCCACTATCATATCTGCTATAATTAATGTTTTCTAAATTAAGGGGTGAAGAAGGGAGTTCAGCTAGTGTCATACGAAAAGGTTCTTGTAAAATTGTCTGAAAAGCTGATTATATGATGGTAGCCTAGTTCAAAAAAAAATGCTGAACTTGAAATTGTTTATCTTGAGATCGGTACCAGTCAAGATAAGCGGGATCGTAATCACAAAAAATTAATACATTTTTTCAAGAATTCTATCGACATCACGAGGAATATAAAAAACCTTAAAAAGATATTTAACCAACCATCAAAGAGGCAGAATCTGACCATATTCACTATTAACATCGCAGGTATAAATAAATTATTTCTATTTTTCTATATATTCATAAATTGTTTATATTTTACTTTATCCACTTCTAGGCAATATTATGGAACTTTATACTATGTAAAAAGAATCAGGCATTTATAAGTACTGTTTAATAGAGGAGACAATAATTCTGTTACATATGACTTCACCAAGTATTATATATCAGCTTATCTATATTTTATTGACATTAAGAACGGCTGTAACCTATACAATTCATAAAATATTATATAGTCCTGACCAGTGTATAAAATTTAGACCAAAAGTCATGTGCACAAGTTGTACTAGAAATAGAAAATTAATGCATGTATTACATAGTATTTCTATTTTTATAAATAATTTATCCATTTTTATATATAATTTATCTATTTTTAGTAATTATTTGTGCACATTTTATGCTGTGTAATATGTGCACATAAAAATTTAATGTGCACATGTGCACATTGTGTACATGAATTTTACACACTGGTCCTGACTCTAGGGATAGTGAAAATAGTTCTAGTGAAATGGTAATAACAGTTTTGACCCCAAAAAATTCATAGAATAGAGATCTCATATATGTAATTTTTATTAAGTTCTAATAAAGCGGTATATAATAAAATTTGATGACAGGTTATGGTCGTTCCCGTCGCTAAAATAGATAGTTCTGGTAAGACTGATTCGTTGAAACAATGCATTAGCGAGCTTAAGGCTGAGAATAATAAAGTTAAGGCCAGAGTTGCAATAATTAATAAAAAACTTATTATCTGTATTATGAAAAACATGACCATGTATTAATTTAGCAAAATTTCAGCTAGGGCGCTCTTATCAAAATCATGTGAATTTTTTATTCAGTGGATCAGAGTTAATGCGTAATATAGAAAGGCAAAATTAATATTACGCAATTTTGCGATATGACGCAGTAATGATATGGTATTTTTTTTAGATCTAATAGTACAATATATTATTTAATACGGTATTAGCACAGTATTTCTTAAAAATACTTATGATGCAATTTTTAGAATATCTTAACGTAATTGCTTCTATGTGACTTTAATTAAAATCATTCTACAGTAATTATCTACATGATTTTAAGCCACATTCACAATATATAGTTATTCAATATGTAATGACTTGTTTTTTGCGTTTCTGCCACTCTCCTCTTCACGTAATTACAATAATGTAGTTAAGAAAAGTATATAATATTATGATCTTTAGAGACCTGAATCCCAAAAAATAAAAAGCTTTTTACAATGTGAACTGACGAGCAACTTCGAGTCTTGATCGACAGCCATAAAGAAAATAACAAAATGTTTTATGAACTAGCTAGGAATGGAAATAGAATTTTCTAGAAGAAAGTCTTCACAAAAATCAACCTTCGGTTTAAAATGTCTTATACTGGTACACATTGTAGGAAAAAGTTCAAGAGTCTTAAACGGGATTGTAAAGTATGTAGAAATCCTTTTGAAATCTTTAAAGCCTCAGCCATGCACAACACCTAATACCAAACTAATTTATCTTTTTTATTTAGCATATGAAAGCATACATTAATGGTAAAGCCAATGGAAAAAGGATTAAGAACAGCCTCAAGTATTATGAGAAATTCAAAGAACAGTTCTAGAAAATATCAGATAAAGATTAGTTGATCAGAGAAAGGAATATTTATGAGAAGATATACTAATCCCTAATACTTCATTTCACTATAGTGACTGACTATAATTGGCTCTGTGAACAAAATATCGCAAGAAGACATCAAACTCTAT